GAACCCGTCTCTACTGCAGTGGCTGAAGGAGTTGAGTGTCTTGTATGAGTCTGAGTGTATGAATACCCTTCAGTCCAAGTCTCTGCCGGAAGTGTGGCCGCCGCCCACTACTTCCACTACCTCCACCAGCACCTCCTCCTCCACCCTGCCACGCCGTCAGGGCCATCCAGCGAAGGCTCACGCCGTCTCCACCGAGTTCGTTAGACTGTGCCAGTGAGTGTCTCTTGTCTTACCAGTTACTGACTGGTCTACCTCTCTCACTGACTGGTCTACCTCTCCCTGACTGGTCTACCTCTCATGCTGACTGGTCTACCTCTCTCCACTACTGGTCTACGCTCTCACTGACTGGTCTACTTCTCTCAGTGATTGGTCTATCTCTCTTACTGACTGGTCTACCTCTCTCACTGACTGGTCTATCTCTCTTGCTGACTGGTCTACCTCTCTCACTGGCCTCTCTCTCACTGACTGGTCTACCTCTGCTGGCTAGTCTCCTCTTACTGACTGGTCTCACCTCCTCTCACAGACTGGTCTACCTCACTCACTGACTGGTCTACCTCTTTACTGACTGGTCTCTCTCTCTGACTGGTCTACAGCTCTCACTGACTGGTCTACTTCTCTCAGTGATTGGTCTATCTCTCTTACTGACTGGTCTACCTCTCACTGACTGGTCTATCTCTCTTACTGACTGGTCTACCTCTCTCACTGACCTCTCTCTCACTGATTACCTCTCCTCACTGACTGGTCTATCTCTCTTGACTGGTCTACCTCTCTCACAGACTGGTCTACCTCACTCACTGACTGGTCTACCTCTTTTTGACTGGTCTACCTCTCTCACTGACTGGTCTACCTCCTCCTGGACTGGTCTACCTCACTCACTGACTGGTCTACCTCTTTTACTGACTGGTCTACCTCTCTCACTGACTGGTCTACCTCACTCACTGACTGGTCTACCTCTCTCACTGACTGGTCTACCTCTCTCACTGACTGGTCTACACTCTTTTTACCCCCGACTGGTCCCTACCTCACTCACTGACTGGTCTACCTCTTTTCCTGACTGGTCTACCTCACTCACTGACTGGTCTACCTCACTCACTGACTGGTCTACCTCTTTTACTGACTGGTCTACCTCACTCACTGACTGGTCTACCTCTTTTACTGACTGGTCTACCTCTCTCACTGACTGGTCTACCTCTCTCACTGACTGGTCTACCTCTTTTACTGACTGGTCTACCTCACTCACGACTGGTCTACCTCTCTTACTGACTGGTCTACCTCACTCACTGACTGGTCTACCTCTCTTACTGACTGGTCTACCTCTCTCACTGACTGGTCTACCTCTTTTTACTGGTCTACTCTACCACTGCTGGTCTACCTCTCTCCTGGCTGGTCTACCTCTCTCACTGACTGGTCTACCTCTTTTACTGACTGGTCTACCTCTCCTCACAGACTGGTCTACCTCACTCTGACTGGTCTACCTCTCTCACAGACTGGTCTACCTCTTTTCTGGCTGGTCTACCTCTCTCTCACTGACTGGTCTATCTCTCTCACAGACTGGTCTACCTCACTCACTGACTGGTCTACCTCTTTTTACTGACTGGTCTATCTCTCTCACAGACTGGTCTACCTCACTCACTGACTGGTCTACCTCTTTACTGACTGGTCTACCTCTCTCTCACAGACTGGTCTACCTCTCTCACTGACTGGTCTACCTCTCTCACTGACTGGTCTACCTCCCACTTGGTCTACTCTCTCTTACTGACTGGTCTACCTCTCTCACAGACTGGTCTACCTCACTCACTGACTGGTCTACCTCTTTCTGACTGGTCTACCTCTCTCACTGACGCCTCTCTCACTGACTGGTCTACCTCACTCACTGACTGGTCTACCTCTTTTGCCAGCTGGTCTACCTCTCTCACTGACTGGTCTACCTCTCTCCACAGACTGGTCTACCTCTCTCACTGACTGACTTAACAGTTTATATACCACACCTGGTGTTACAGCACCACTATACCTGGTGTTACAGCACCACTATACCTGGTGTTACAGCACGACTATACCTGGTGTTACAGCACCACTACATGGTATTACCAGCACCACTATACCTGGTGTTACAGCACCACTATGCATGGTGTTACAGCACCACTATACCTGGTGTTACAGCACCACTATACCTGTTACAGCACCACTATACCTGGTGTTACAGCACCACTATACCTGGTGTTACAGCACCACTACATGGTGTTACAGCACCACTATACCTGGTGTTACAGCACCACTATACCTGGTGTTACAGCACGACTATACCTGGTGTTACAGCACCACTATACATGGTATTACAGCACCACTATACCTGTGTGTTACAGCACCACTATACATGGTATTACAGCACCACTATACCTAGTGTTACACAGCACCACTATGCATGTGTTACAGCACCACTATACCTGGTGTTACAGCACAACTATACCTGGTGTTAGCACCACTATACATGGTGTTACAGCACCACTATACCTAGTGTTACAGCACCACTATAGCATGGTGTTACAGCACCACATTTTAGCACCACTATACCTGGTGTTACAGCACCACTATACCTGGTGTTACAGCACCACTATACCTGGTGTTACAGCACCACTATAACTGGTGTTACAGCACCACTATACCTGGTGTTACAGCACCACTATACCTGGTGTTACAGCACCACCATACCTGGTGTTACAGCACCACTATACCTGGTGTTACAGCACCACCATACCTGGTGTTACAGCACCACTATACCTGGTGTTACAGCACCACTATACCTGGTGTTACAGCACCACTATACCTGGTGTTACAGCACCACTATACCTGGTGTTACAGCACCACTATACCTGGTGTTACAGCACCACTATACCTGGTGTTACAGCACCACCATACCTGGTGTTACAGCACCACTATACCTGGTGTTACAGCACCACACCTTTTATTGTTACAGCACCACTACCTGGTGTTACAGCACCACTATACCTGGTAGCACCACCATACCTGGTGTTACAGCACCACTATAACTGGTGTTACAGCACCACCATACCTGGTGTTGCAGCACCACTATAACTGTGTTACAGCACCACTATACCTGGTGTTACAGCACCACTATACCTGGTGTTACAGCACCACCATACCTGGTGTTGCAGCATCACTATACCTGGTGTTACAGCACCACTATACCCTGGTGTTACAGCACCACCATACCTGTGTTACAGCACCACTATAACTGGTGTTACAGCACCACTATACCTGGTGTTGCAGCACCACTATAACTGGTGTTACAGCACCACTATACCTGGTGTTACAGCACCACGATACCTGTGTTACAGCACCACCATACCTGGTGTTGCAGCACCACTGTACCTGGTGTTACAGCACACTATACCCTGGTGTTACAGCACCAATATACCTGGTGTTGCACCACCATACCTGGTGTTACAGCACCACTATACCTGGTGTTGCAGCACCACTATACCTGGTGTTACAGCACCACTATACCTGGTGTTACAGCACCACTATACCTGGTGTTACAGCACCACTTCTGGTGTTACAGCACCACTATACCTGGTGTTACAGCACCACTATACCTGTGTTACAGCACACTATACCTGGTGTTACAGCACCTGCCGGTGTTACAGCACCACTATACCTGGTGTTACTGCACCACCATACCTGGTGTTACAGCACCAATATACCTGGTATTACGACCTTACTATACCTGATTACAGCACCACTATACCTGTGTTACAGCACCACTATACCTGGTGTTACAGCACCACCATGCCTGGTGTTGCCTATACCTGATGTTACAGCACCACTATATGTGTTACAGCACCACTATACCTGGTGTTACAGCACCACTATACCTGTTACAGCACCACTAACGTGTTACAGCACCACCATACCTGGTGTTACAGCACCATATACCTGGTATTAGCACCACTATACCTGGTGTTACAGCACCACTATACCTGGTGTTACAGCACCACTATACCTGTGTTACAGCACCACTATACCTGGTGTTACAGCACCACTATACCTGGTGTTACAGCACCACTATACCTGGTGTTACAGCACCACCATACCTGGTGTTACAGCACACTATATGGTGCCACTATTTGGTGTTACAGCACTACCATACCTGGTGTTACAGCACCACTATACCTGGTGTTACAGCACCACTATACCTGGTGTTACAGCACCACTATACCTGGTGTTACAGCACAACCATACCTGGTGTTACAGCACCACTATACCTGGTGTTACAGCACCACTATACCTGGTGTTACAGCACCACTATACCTGGTGTTACAGCACCACTATACCTGGTGTTACAGCACCACTCATACCTGGTGTTACAGCACCACTATAAGTGGTGTTACAGCACCACCATACCTGGTGTTAAGCACTTACCTGGTGTTGGCACACATACCTGGTGTTACAGCACCGCTATACCTGGTGTTCAGCACCACTTACAACTGGTGTTACAGCACCACCTACCTGTGCTTAGCACACTATAACTGGTGTTACAGCACCACCATACCTGGTGTTACAGCACCACTATACCTGGTGTTACAGCACCACTTATGCAGGCGTGACAGCACCACTATACCTGGTGTTACCATTATACCTGGTGTTACACCTCTACCTGGTGTTACAGCACCATTATACCTGGTGTTATGCCACCACTATACCTGGTGTTACAGCACCATTATATGGTGTTAAGCACCACTATACCAGCACCTGGTTGTTGTGTTTCAGGCGGCTGGAGTGGCTGGAGCGTCAGGTGCCGGCCCTGGCCGGGCTCTCTGTGGGCCACATCAACAACTTCCCTCAGAGATCTACCACCCAGTGACCTCCTGCTGACCTCGACTCTCCAGCCCCAGGTGAGTCCCCTGATAACTACCTCCAGCCCCAGGTGAGTCCCCTGATAACTACCTCCAGCCCCAGGTGAGTCCCCTGATAACTCACCTCCAGCCCCAGGTGAGTCCCTCTGATAACTCCTCCAGCCCGAGGTGAGTCCCTGATAACTACCTCCAGCCCCAGGTGAGTCCCCTGATAACTACCTCCAGCCCCAGGTGTCCCCTGATAACTACCTCCAGCCCCAGGTGAGTCCCCTGATAACACCTCCAGCCCCAGGTGAGTCCTGATAACTCCCTCCAGCCCCAGGTGAGTCCCCTGATAACTCCCTCCAGCCCCAGGTGAGTCCCCTGATAACTCACCTCCAGCCCCAGGTGAGTCCCCTGATAACTCCCTCCAGCCCCAGGTGAGTCCCCTGATAACTCTCTCTGGCCCCCAGGTGAGTCCCTGATAACTCCCTCCAGCCCGAGGTGAGTCCCCTGATAACTACCTCCAGCCCCAGGTGAGTCCCCTGATAACTCCCTCCAGCCCCAGGTGAGTCCCCTGATAACTACCTGCAGCCCCAGGTGAGTCCTGATAACTACTCCGCAGCCCCAGGTGAGTCCCCTGATAACTCCCTCCAGCCCCAGGTGAGTCCCCTGATAACTCCCTCCAGCCCGAGGTGGATTCCTGATAACTACCTCCAGCCCCAGGTGAGTCCCTGATAACTACCTCCAGCCCCATGTGAGTCCCCCTAATATCTACCTCCAGCCCCAGGTGAGTCCCTTGATAACCACCTCCAGACGCAGGAGGCCTCTGATAACTACCTCCAGCCCCAGGTGAGTCCCTGATAAATTGCTCCAGCCCCAGGTGAGGATATGTTAACTACCTCAAGCCCCAGGTGAGTCCCCTGATAAATACCTCCAGCCCCAGGTCCCTTGATAACTACTTCTCCTGCCCCGGTGAGTCCCTGATAACTACCTCCAGCCCCAGGCGGGGTCCCTGATAAATACATCCAGCCCCAGGTGAGGGATAATTACCTCAAGCCCCAGGTGAGTCCCTGATAACTACCTCCAGCCCCAGGTAAGTTCCCTGATAACTACCTCCAGCCCCAGGTGATTCCCTGATAACTACCTCCAGCCCCAGGTGAGTCCCCTGATAACACATCCAGCCCCAGGTGAGGCCTGATAAATACCTCCAGCCCCAGGGGTCCTTGATAAATACCCTCCAGCCCCAGGTGAATCCTGATAACTCCTCCAGCCCAGAGTCCAATACCTCAGCCCCGGGTGGTCCTGATAAGCCTCCAGCCCAGGTGAGGTCCTGATAACTACATCCAGCCCCGGGTGAGTCCTGATAACTACCTGCAGCCCCAGGGGTCCTTCATAACTACCTCCAGCCCCAAGTGAGTCCTCTGATAACTTCTCGCCCAGTTGATTCCTTGGATAACTACCTCCAGCCGCAGGTGAGACCCCTGATAATCCTCCAGCCCAGGTGGGTCCCCTGATAACTACCTCCTCCCAGGTTAGGCCCTGATAACTACTCAGCCCAGGTGGGTCTGATGCTACTCCAGCCCAGGTGAGTCATCTGAAAAATTACCTCCAGCCCCAGGTGAGGCCCTTGATAACTCCCAGCCCAGGTGGTCCTGATACTGCCTCCTGGTGGTCCTGATAACTACTCCAGCCCCAGGTGGGTCCCTGATAACTACCTCCAGCCCCAGGTGGGTCCCCTGATAACTACCTTCAGCCCCAGGTGGTCCTGATAACTACCTCCAGCCCCAAATGAGGTCCCCTGATAGCTACCTCCAGCCCCAGGTGAGTCCTGATTTCTACCTCCATCCCCAGGTGGTCTGATAACTACCTCCAGCCCCTGGTGAGGCCCCATAACTTCGTCCAGCCCAGGTGAGTCCTGATAACTACCTCCAGCCCCAGGTGATTCCCTGATAACTACCTCCAGCAGGTGGAGTCTCCTGATATCTACCTCCAGCCCCAGGTGGTCCTGATAACCTCCGCCCCAGGTGAGGTCTGATCTCCACCTCCCAGCCCCAGGTGAGTCTGATAACTACCTCCGCCCCAGGTGGTCCTGATAACTACCTCCAGCCCCAGGTGGGGTCTGATAACTACCTCCAGCCCCAGGTGAGTCACCTGATACTTCTCAGCCCCAGGTGAGTCCCCTGATAACTACCTCCAGCCCCAGGTGGTCCTGATAACTACCTCCAGCCCCAGGTGAGTCCTGATAACTCCCTCCAGCCCCAGGTGAGGTCCCTGACCTTCGCTTATATTATATAATTGTGTTTTGTTGTTGTTGTTGCAGTTGTTCTTTTGTTGTTGTTGCTGTTGTTTTTGTTGTTGTTGTTGTTGTTGTTGTTGTTGTTGTTGTTGTTGTTGTTGTTGTTGTTGTTTGTTGTATTAATCATTATAACTGGTAGTAACTGCTGTTGTTGTTGTTGTTGTTGTTGTTGTTGTTGTTGTTTGTAGTAATTATTATAACTGGTAGTAACTGTTGTTGTTGTTTTTTTTGTTGTTGTTGTTTGTTGTTGTTGTAGTATTAAATTATTATAACTGGTATTAACTGTTGTTTTAATTTGTTGTTGTTGTTTATTTGTTGATTAATCATTATAACTGGTAGTAACTGTTGTTTTTGTTGTTATTGTTGTTGTATTAATCATTATAACTGGTAGTAACTGCTGTTTTTTATTTGTTGTTGTTGCTTTGTTTGTTTTTTTGTTTATTTATTATTGTAATGTTATAACTGGGGTATTTTTTATTGTTGTTATTAATCATTATAACTGGTAGTAACTGCTGTTTTTTGTTGTTATTGTTGTTGTTGTTTGTTTGTATTAATCATTATAACTGGTAGTAACTGTTGTTGTTGTTGTTGTTGTTTGTTTAATTTGTTGTTGTTGTTGTTGTATTAATCATTATAACTGGAGTAACTGTTGTTGTTGTTGTTATTGTTGTTGTTGTTGTTGTATTAATCATTATAACTGGTAGTAACTGTTGTTGTTGTTATTTGTTGTTGTTGTTGTTGTTGTTGTTGTTTGTATTAATCATTATAACTATTTAACTGTGTTTGTTGTTGTTGTTGTTGTTGTTGTTGTATTAATCATTATAACTAGTAGTAACTGTTTGTTATTTATTTGTTGTTATTTTGTTGTTGTTTGTTGTTATTTTTTATTTGTTGTTGTTGTATTAATCATTTATAACTTTGGTAGTAACTGTTGTTTATTTGTTGTTGTTGTTGTTGTTGTTTGTTTTTTGTTGTTGTTGTATTAATCATTATAACTGTTAGTAACTGTTGTTTAATAACTGGTAATGTTGTTGTTTTGTTGTTGTTGTTGTTGTTGTATTAATCATTATAACTGGTAGTAACTGTTGTTGTTGTTGTTGTTGTTGTTGTTGTTGTATTAATCGTATATCTGGTAGTAACTGTTGTTGTTGTTGTTGTTGTATTAATCATTATAACTGTTAGTAACTGTTGTTGTTGTTGTATTAATCATTATAACTGGTAGTAACTGTTGTTGTTATTATTGTTGTTGTTGTTGTTGTATTAGTATTATAACTGGTAGTAACTGTTGTTGTTATTGTTATTTGTTGTTGTTGTATTAATCATTATAACTTCAAGTAGTTGCTGTTTTGTTGTTGTTGTTTTAATCATTATATCTGGTAGTAACTGTTGTTGTTGTTGTTGTTGTTGCTGTTGTTGTTGATGTTTATTTTTGTTTGTTTGTTGTATTAATCATTATAACTGGTAGTAACTTTGTATTGTTGTTGTTTGTTGTTGTTGTATTAATCTATTATAACTAAGTATAATGTTGTTGTTGTTGTTATTTGCTGTTGTTGTTGATGTTATTATTAATCATTATAACTTTGTAGTAACTATTTGTTGTTGTTGTGTTATTTGTATTAATCATTATAACTGTTAGTAACTGTTGTTGTTATTGTTATTGTTGTTGTATTAATCATTATAACTGGTATTACTGCTGTTTATTTTGCTGTTGTTGTTTGATGTTGTTATTATATTATTAACTATTATTTATTTTTGTTGTTTTTTGTTTATTTATTTGTTGTTGTTGTTGTTGTTGTTTAATCATTACAACTGGTAGTAACTATTGTTGTTGTTGTTGTTGTTTTGTTGCTGTTGTTTTTGATGTTGATTTGTTGTTGTTGTTGTATTAATCATTATAACTGTTTAAGTTTATTTGTTGTTTGTTTTTTGTTGTTATTTATTTACTGTTGTTGTTGATGTTGTTGTTGTTGTTGTTGTATTAATCATTATTACTTTTAGTAGCTGTTGTTGTTGTTATTTGTTGTTTGTTGTTGTTGTATTAATCATTATAACTGGTAGTAACTGTTGTTGTTGTTTGTTGTTGTATTAATCATTATAACTGGTAGTAACTGTTGTTGTTGTTGTTGTTGTTGTTATTATTTGTTGTTTATTAATCATTATAACTGTTAGTAACTGTTGTTGTTGTTGTTGTTGTTGTATTAATCATTATAACTGGTAGTAACTATTTTTGTTGTTGTTATTAATCATTATAACTGGTAGTAACTGTTTTGTGTTTTGTTATTTGTTGTTGTTGTGTTGTATTAATCTTATCTGTAGTAACTATTGTTGTTGTTGTTGTTGTTTTGTTGTATTAATCATTATAACTGGTAGTAACTGTTGTTGTTTGTTGTTGTTGTTGTTGTATTAATCATTATAACTGTTAGTAACTTTTTTGTTGTTGTTGTTGTTGTTGTTGTATTGATCATTATAACTGGTAGTAACTGTTGTTGTTTTGTTGTTGTTGTTGTTGTTAATCATTATAAATGGTAGTAACTGTTGTTGTTGTTGTTGTTGTTGTTGTATTAATCATTATAACTGGTAGTAACTGTTTTTGTTGTTGTTGTTGTTGTTGTTGTATTAATCATTATAACTGGTAGTAACTGTTATTGTTGTTTTGTTGTTGTTGTATTAATCATTATAACTGGTAGTAACTGTTGTTGTTGTTGTTGTATTAATCATTATAACTGGTAG